CAATGGCGTGGCACTCACCAGTTGTTGTAGACTGGCCAGTCAATGAGCTCCAGGGATCCTCCTGTCTCTGCCTTCACAGCACTGTGATTACAAACCTGCACCACCATGCTTGGGTTCTGTGGATTGAACTAAAGTCTCCAAATCAGGTTTACCAACTGAGCCATTTCCCAATTTGTTTTGAGTAGTGGTTATCTTTACAGATTGCATTAATTAGCTTTGTGCTGCTGTGGTCAACATACCTGGCAGGACAACTTAGGGAAAGAAACATTTATTTTAGATCATGGTTTCAGAGGGTTAGGTTCATAATTTCTTGTCCCCATGAGTTTGAGCAAAAGCATCATTTTATAGATTTTATAGATTTACAGTTGTGTAAATATAGTAAAAACCAAACTAGAAAATCAGAGTTAGTGGCATTTTTTACTTTAAAAATGTAGTAAAAACTTACAGTAATCAAAACAGGAGCATATTGGCATGAAAACAGACAGAGCAGGGGAACAGAATCAATATCCAAGAAGTAACCTGACCAAATATAGTCAACTAAGTTTTGGCAAATACAATATGGGAAAATGGTTAGTCTCTTCAATAAATGATGCTGAGAAAACTGGATATTCACATGCAAATGAAATTGGACCCTTACATGATTCACAAAAATCAGTTTATAATATACAAAATATCTAAACATAAGTCCAAAGTTGTGATACATGTAGAAGAGACCATAGAAGGAAGTTCCTTGCCACTGGCCTTGGCAGTGACTTTCTGGCAATAAGATGACATTAAGCTAAAGCGTCTGTAAATTGGAAACAATCATCACAGTGAAATAGTTAAAAGCCACACACCTGAAAAGCAGTGTTTTAGAATGCATCAAAACCTTATAACTAGTATCGATGAAGTGTGATGCTTATGGATTCTGTTGAAAATCTGTGAATATGTAGGGTTTTTCTGTGTGTGTGTCTCTGTGTATGCGTGGTGCACATGGTGTATTCCTGAGTATGTGGGTATGTTCATCTGTGCCTGCACATGTGTAGGCTAGAGATTGTCTTGGAGTATTTTCTTCAGTTGCTTTCCACTTTGTTTTGAGATAGTGTCTTTTACTGAACCTGAGAGGACTATTATCCACTGGGCTAACCTGTAAGCCCAGTAAGCTCTGGGGATCCACCTGTCTCTACTCCCCCACAGCAACAGGGTTACAAATGTGTGTCACTGCACCTGGCTTTGGGTGCTGAGGACATGAACTCATGCCTACACAGCAAGCACTTCCCCCCTGAGTCGTCTCCTTACTGTTTGTAAATAGCTTTTAGGAGTAGTGCTTATAGGAAGAAACTCAACTACATTTTAAGTAGGCCTTTATGTTATGAATACATCTTACAGCTTTTATTTTAAAAGCCTGCTTTTCACTGTTAAAGAAGAAAGTATCATGGCATCATTATTACTAACACATTCATAGAATGATGCCTTGTGCATTTGACATGGGACTTTTCTACACCTGCCAAGAAAAAGCACCAATTGCTCTGACCATAAAGGCTGTTATTTGCAGATCTATTCCATTGCTCTGAGTCATTGATGGTTACAGGATTTATACTTATCCTGCAATACAAAGCATTTTCTTCTATGCCCGAAGTTAAATAATTTCATAAAATGAATGTATGCAGGAATGTTCCAAAGTATCTTTGTCTTGATTCATGTACTTGAAAAACAAAGTGAAGCATTTGTAGCTCTCTCTCTCTCTCTCTCTCTCTCTCTCTCTCTCTCTCTCTCTCTCTCTCTCTCTCTCTCTTTCTCTCTCTGTGTGTGTGTATGTGTGCGCGCACGTGTGCATGTATGAGCACTTGTGCAAATGAACATGCATATATGTGTATGCACATGGGTGTGGAGATCAGAGGGTGCTGTTCTCAGGAGTCATCATTTTTTTATTTTTTTGAGACATGGTCTCTCACTGGGACTTGGGGCTCTCTGATTAGGCTAGTATGTCTGGCCATTTAGTCCTGTTTCTGCCTCTCCAGAGCTGGTATTATAATGTTCACCGCCACACATGGCTTTTTATGTGAGAGTGCTGGGGCTTGAACTTAGGTCTTCATGCTTTACCTCGACCCCTGAGGGTACTTTTTATGCACTTTCCCTCACACTTGCTATTATGAGTTTTAACAACAGAAGTTGTTTCCTTACTATTTTAATGAAAGGCCATACTATTGGTCTGACTTGTTTATTATTTCTAAATGTGTAGTACATATTACATTGAATAAAAACAAGTATAGCACTTTTTTTTGCTTTCATTCACAAATGAAATTGACCAATAGAATCCTTCTTCCCTTTGAGGGACATTGCCAAAGTAAGGTTTTGGTTATATGAACTGGATAGAAAGGAACTAGATGGCTATACCTTGCTCCAAAAGTTTGCATGAGAATCACTTACTCACTAAAAGTGGGAATGAACTCTGCTGTGACTCCCTGAATGGTGTGATCAGTACTTCAAAGAAATTAAAGCGAGGTGAGGGATTGAGGGGTCAGGCCTTCTGTTTCCATGAGGTGGATAGGAATGTCCTTTAAATGAGGAGAAGCCACAGTGAAGCAAGTGGCAGCTTGAGAGAGGAGTGTCCTAGCTGAGGGAGCCGAAGGCAAAAGCCTGGGCACAGTCAGGGGCAGCACAGTGAGCTACAGGTAGCAAGCCTGAGATGCAGTATAGATCTATTTATTTAGCCAACATCTTAAATCTTGCTCCTTTAATCAAAGCTCTCTCTTTTAAAGAATTTGGCTGCTTGCTTAGGTATTTTTCTGACTTTCATGAAGGTTTTAGAACATACAGTTTCTTTTTTAAGTACTTGTGTGTCTGTATATGTTTTGTGTGCAAGTACAGGCACACATTGCTACAGTATGTGTGGAAGCCAACCGCTTTCTACCTTGTTTGAGATGAGCTCTTGTTCACCATGGCCTACGCTAGCCTAGCTGGCCTTCATGCTTGCATGGATTCCCCTGTCTCCATTTGCTGTCCTGTCTTGCTGTAGGAGTGTTGGGGTTACACATGTGTGTTATTCTGTCTGGATTTATGTAGGTTCTGGAGATCTAAACCTGGTATTCACACCTGCGTGACAAGTGTTTTACCTAAGGCCAGGACATTTTATATATATTATTTATATATATTGACCATACCACTACCAACAACAAAAATGGGATTCTGTTAGAATAGGAGAATAAATATTGGATAAATATCTAACAGTACCCTTCATAAAATCCTGTGGACTTGATGACTCCCCTGCTATACTAAGTTGTTGTCAATCACAGCAAAATAGAAAGGTTACCAGTTTACTTTATGAAGTTAGTCAAAAAAGTGTTTTGTTTCAGAAAATAGTAGACACATCTGAAAGGGAAAAAAACAAGGTAAATTATGAATGTAACTGAAAACTCAAAATATAAACACATTTTTTCAGTACCCTAAAAGAATAATTCATCAGGATCATTTAGGGCCCATAGGATAATAGCATTAATGCTTTAATATTGGGAAAATATAAATATAAATATCATCTGACATATCAAAGGTCATGTAAGAAAAGCACGATAAGCAAAATAGATAAAAGAGTTGATAAAGACAGCATTTAGTTCTGGTTAAAAATCATCTATATAGTATCAACTTTCCTTCTAAACTCTGTTCATGCCCACAGAAAAAGCCCCCTTAACCCTAATCACAGAAGCTTCTCTTTATAGCCCAAGGTACTGAGAATAGCCAACAGTTGTGGATTCAGCCCTAAATAAGATATTTACAGCACTCCCTGTCAGGCTCAGGGATGCTGCAGAGGAGGAAGTGGAAATGGATGTAAGAGCTGAAAGGTAAGGTGGAAGAACTGTGAATGCCACCACCCCAAACACAGTGCATCCGAGCAATCATCAGTTCACAACCGCAGGTGGCCTGCACGTGACTGGTCCTGTCAGTGAGTCTGGAAGGGCTCATGGGACCTACCCTTCTTGCTGAACTGTTGGTAAATGATAGATTCTGGGAGGGGAGAATGCTTGTCTTCAAGTGTGTAGCCACCCCTGAGTCTGCCAGGCTCCAACAAATAGGTCCAAACTCATGGCCACACAGATAACCCTGGTTAAAATCAGGGGAAGGAGAGGGCTCCAGACTAATGATTAAGTATGAACATGAGAAAGAAATTCGGAGGGGGGTGGTGAGGAGAGGCAGATGGGAGGAAGATGGAGAAGATGGGGTTAGAGTGAGATCATGCATCTCATATATGTATGAAATTATCAAATAATACATTTAATCAATAAAAATAAACTAGTCCTAGGTATCTAAAATGAGAAATAAATTCCTTAGCAAAATAAGAATACTTAATTTCTGCTTCAAAGGATAAAAGTATGTTCTATACCGCCAAACCAGGTGAAGCTATCTAGGAAATAAATTTTAAGGAATATCTGAACTTGGATGACATAAAGCCACGACAGCATGCTCCTTGTTGCTTCTTCAGGTTTCCAAGGCATTCTCCAGTGTGTACCTTGGAGCACGGTCTTTCTTCCCTCTTCACCTCAGATCATTTCAGCTCACTTTTCTACAGCCAGTGAGCCCAGCTAGGTAAAGTGTAGTGCACACCAATATAAACTCCAGAAGAACTTGTACCCATTTAGTCCTCTCGAAAAGTGAAGGTACTTTTAACATTTGCCTTTGAACTTTTACAACTAGATTTCTTTATAAAATCAAATTATTCTTTCCTTTAGTGAAGTGTGTAAGAGATATTTGCTCTGAGGCTATTAGCTAGTCAGCTAAAGCTTAAAGTCATTGAATCACCGCAATATGTTCTAAATCAATATTTTTAGATTTTTAAAGCCATAGTTCACCTTAAGAAATACTAAGCTAGGCTTTATTGTTGCTGGTTTTAACCATGTTATGGTCCAATTTTCTTTTAAGTATGAGTTTTTCTTGGTGGAGTGTTTTGGTTCTGGTTGCTGATTTTCCTGTGATTGGCAGGAAGGTGATAGGAGTTTGTTAAATGGTGCCTTCTTTTCTGCCCACAGCTCTCATGCGTGAAGCATAGCGCCTCGTTAACCCAAGGACCTCGCCAACCGGAAGTTGTCATTTTTACCAGCAATCCAGCACGTCCCCTTTGACCTGGTTTTCTCTTTCACAAAGTGGAAACTTCTCTTTGAAGTTATTTTTGTTATAAATTTAAGCGAATGGCTGACCGTGGCTTGGATGAAATGCCGAAAAAGTGCCCCCACTGTGCGACTTCGGATGACGATCGCCTTTGCTTGTGCTCAGCCATCAACTCTCCGATTCTGGTGGTGGAAATGTCACAAACATCGAGTATTGGTAGTGCAGACATTTTTGCTTCCCAGGAGAGAAAAAAAGAAAGAAATGCCAGCAGAGAACCTTCTATGAAAGATCTGGTAAATATGGAAACTTCTACAACATTGGCAGCCCATTCTTCATGGCCATTTCTAGGCTCCTCCCTGTCCTCGAGCCCTTGTCCACTAATTCAGTGGCTTCTTCAAGTTCTTAGAGGACTGTTTCCCACAGCAGAGATGAGCACAGTTGGTAGTTATGTGTTTTATGATACTTTCAGTCACTGTCAAATTTATTTCTCAGAATCCCAAATGATTAACATTATTATTCCAGCTCTTAAAAGCTGTTTATACAGAAAAAACTTCTTTCTCAAATTTAGCCAAATAGGGCTTTTTAGTAGTTTTCTCCAACTGATACAGAGAGCTTTATGACAAAGGTTAAAGTGTGGCTGTGGCTTCATTATCTAAAATGAAGTCTAGTTACCTATCTAGAATATAAAATGCACTTGGCAAGGTTGGTTCACATGCTTTTCAAATAGTGTAGGACTTGCAATCAAGCTGATGTGGCTACCTTCATCGGTGTGACGAGCACAGTGGAAGGCTGTGGTTAATGAAGTCTGTGGTTAGTGTGGCACAGTTTTGGTGGCAAGGAAGAGGACGTTTAGGAAAAGTCAGGCCCTCATTACTCACCTGAACCTTTGGGCATTTGCACCTCACCTGAAGCTCTTCTTTCGCCCAATGAGCCAATGACTGGCTCTGCACTCTGGAATTGAAAAAGACAGTAAACCCTTTTGTATATAGTAAATACTACAGCATCCATTAAGGCTGATCCCACTTAGAGTTCATCATTAATAAGAGTGTTACTTTTTTTTTTTTTTTTTGGTTTTTCGAGACAGGGTTTCTCTGTATTGTTTTGGAGGCTGTCGGTCCAGCCCAGCCTCGAACTCACAGAGATCCACCTGCCTCTGCCTCCCGAGTGCTGGGATTAAAGGCATGCGCCACCACCGCCCGGCTGAGTGTTACATCTTAAGAGTTATTTTTCATAATTCTCCTTTGGTCCTAGTCCACAAGATCAAACGTGGAGAGGAAAGCCTCTCAGCAACAGTGGGGCCGGAGCACTGTCACCGAGGGAAAAGTCCCGCACATACGGATGGAGAATGGCTCCAACATCGAGGTATGCAGGAAGCAAGCTACAGCTCCTAGAGATGGTCAGCTTTCTTCTTTCCAAAATTCTCTTTTCATCTGTCATCCTTTTAACAGAATTTGCTTATTTTAATTGAAAATTTCACAATGTATTTTGATGTTTTACTCTCCCCCAGCTCCCCACCTCTTACCTACCCAACTTGATCCCCCCTCTCAAAATAAATCAAATGAACCCTTAATCAAAACACAAAACCCCAAATAAGCAAGTAGAAGGTCAAAAAGACAAAAATGCCAACCAACAATATAAAAAGTACACACCCACACACCAAACACACAAACAACAACAAAAAAAAACGAGTCCATTTTGTGTTGGCCAAGTACTCCTGGACATGAGGCCTGTCCTGGATTGTGGTTAATATTCTCAGTGACACTCAACTGGAGAAACTGATGTTCCCTTTGCCAGCAGGTATCAACTGCAAATAGTTTTTCGGTTAGGGGTGGACTCCACATCCACTTCTCCCTCTCCATGCTGGGACCTCTCTGTCATGAACCTGTGCAGGTCACATGAGTGCTGCCACAGCCTCTGTGAGTTCACATGTGAACCTAAGAGTTGATAGGCCACAGGTCACATGGGAAGACCTAATACTATTATTATGCTAAAGGAACATAGCAATAAATGACATCAAATGACATAATACCATGCCTATAGACCAGTGTCTTGCTCAACCCTCATCAGGGAAGCTTCTTGCAATAGATGGGAATTAACACAGAGACCCGTGACTGGACATTGTGCTAAGATACTTTGGAGCACTTAGTTCTTAAGGTGATGTCTTCATTAGACTCCTGGAAGAGGAGGCAGAGGATTGCAAGAGCCAAAGGTGATGGATGACTCCAAGGATAAAGACAAAACATACCTGAACTTTCAGGTTTCCTCTAAGCCAATGATCAGGCGGAGCAGAGACAATTGAAAACAGCCTCTGAGGAAAGCAAGTAAAGATCACTGTAAAAATCTTAAGCACATTGGAGTTTTTCTAAAGGAAATTCAGGGCAAGCATGAGAATTAGAATTTGGATCCCTGGCACCTGTGTTGACAGTGGGTACAGTGGCACCTGTAGACCCAGTGCTGGGGAAGAGGAGACAGACAGAAAGATTGGCACTAACTGGCTGCCAGGGTCAGTGAGACCCTTGTCTCAAAAACTAAGCTGGAGAATGATTGAAAAAGATACCTCGTGGTGACCTCTGGCCTTAAGTTATAAATATAATTGGATATTCTCTACTTTAAACATTCTACTTAGATCAGTGTTATAATACTCTATCCAAATTATGTTTCTGTATGTTTAGAGAGAGCTAAATGTTTAAGTTTTAGGGGGAAATTTTGGAAAGGAGCAAAAAAGATGAGTTTGTTCTGATGGGGAAAATCCAGGTAAATGACCATCTTCCTGAAGATATAATATATAAAGCATAGATGAGAGCTGCATATAAATGTAATAAAATTTAAGTGTCTTTGTTTTTGTAGTTAATTACCTAAGTTTTCTGACTTCCATTCTCACTACTATGCTATTACATGGTATTGGGGAAGAAAAAGGGATGAGGTTTTTAAGAGACACAAAAGAAATAGTTCCATGAGCAGCCATGTTAGAATTAAAATGAACCAGAATAAGTAAGAAAGTGGTCGTGGTGTTTGAGGACCAGTCATGCTGACAGAGTGAAAATAAAGGGACAGTCACCATGGTGCAGCCCAGGAGGGAACCCTCACGGGCACTCAGTCTTCTAGAAAAGCAACATAGAAATGAAAACAGAAGGGAGCTGAACAATGAAGCACCTGTTTGATGGTGAGATGGAGGCCGCTCAGTCGGAGGGGAGTCTCTAGGGAGGCTTTGGCAGGCCAGCCCCACAGAGGCTGCACCTGGTGGCTCGGACTCACTATTGTCCCACACGTTAGTCCCTGTGTGTGATGGGTTCAGAAACTCATCAGGACTCTGCAGATGGTTTGCATCATAGAATCTGACTCCTGCCAGTCCTCAAGAAATGAAAATGTAGTGAGTTATGTGATTTTTATTTTGCACTGCGAACCAGAACACTGTTGTTGGCCAAAACTAGTCCATTCTCTCTTTGTAAACAAAATTTAAATGGTAAGTCAGAAAGATTTTTGGTTTAGGTCAATGGTTCTCAACAAAATAATTTTATGGTTGGGGGCCGCTATAAGTTGAGGAACTGTAGTAAAGGGTTGTAGCATTAGGAAAGCTGAGAACCACTGGTTTAGATAGTGGTATCATGGGTAGTGTATTTTCTTCTTGCTTCTGATTTTTTAAATTTTCTGTTACTATTTTCTTTTCTAAAATAAAATCAATAAGGTAAGAAAACTAACACAGAGATAAAGGAGATAAAAAGCACTTTTAGTTAAAGAAGGAGGCAGTTCATTGTTTTAGGCTCAAACTCAGGGCCCTGTGCATGACAAACAAATGCTCAACCATTGAGCTCCATCCAGCCTGTCTGATAGTTACTAGTATTGATTTCATAGTGTGACTCTCAGAGTTTTGAGGTGAACTTTTGCTAAATTTATTGTTTATGCATATATATGTATGTATGCATCAAGTTAATGTTTATTAATATTTCACATCTTTTCCTATAAAAATATTCCATTTTATAATGAAGTTTTATATTAGTATTATTTTATAATGTGTACATTGAAAGAAATCAATTTCTATATTTTTGAACTTTCCCACATTGCCATTAGAACTTTTGTGATTTTCTTGCAAAAAGTAAGCAATTATTAAAAGTCATTGAAACTTGATTGTGGTTAGTTAAGATGTATTTGTTACTACCGAAGCAAATACATAGTCACTATTTGCTCTTACCCTAGAACAGAATTCCTCTTCCCTTGGGCTAATATCTCTCAGTACTATGTGTTCATTCTTAATGCCTGATGAATGCCACAGAGACAGAGGAACTTTTGTTTTGTCTCCAGGAATTCTACACCTTCGGAAGAATATTGGGACAGGGAAGTTTCGGAATGGTCATTGAAGTTACAGATAAAGAAACAGGAGCTAAGTGGGCGATTAAAAAAGTCAATAAAGAGAAGGTAAGGCTCCCCAGTGCAGCTTCCTTAGGGCACAGTGTCAGGATAAGGTAGGGGTGGGCAGTGCAGCTTTCTACACTAACCCAAGTTGTGTCTTCCCTTGAGGGTCTGGGCGGGGCTAACTGCTGGAGAAACGTGAGGACTGCTCTAGTCTCCTGTGAAGGGCCTAGATCCTGCACTCAGGTAGACATGTACTGTCTGGAAAATGCAAAAGCGTCAGCATAGCAGTATAATCAAATATGTAGACTTCACAAGTGAATTTGAAGTCAGAACTGGTCTCAGTTTATGTAGGTGTAAGGGCTGGAAATCTGAATGTCTTAGCTGGAAGTAAATCCTGTTGCCCCTCTGGAGTTATTTGGTACACTTTTCTTCTATTATCTCATTTAATTCTCTTTCCTTACTATTGGCCAACCCCCCTCCAATCTAGTCTACTGCCTCTGTGTGTCTGCTATACTCCTTCTGTGTTACTTGTTGGCAGGGGACTTGGCTTCTCCTTAAGGCAGAATCTAAGATCTCAAACTTTACATCAGCTCATCATCAACTTTAAAAAATTCTGTGTGGATAAAGAAGCAAAATGACACTGTTATGGTGTTTTCTTGGGTTTATGGTAACAAGTATTGGATCTATAGAATCTTAAATAGTAACCTATATGTGTTTTTTTGTAATTGTAGCAAATTTCCAAGTTTAATGAGGTGACATATCAACTTTAATAAAGCAATTAAGCGCCTTCCTATCGTATTTTGCAATTCTTTTGAACTCTAGGTGGCACACACCACAGGGCTGCCTGGCATGCTGTTTCTTTGCTTTCTTGTTGCCAGATAGGGTTGAAGATTCAGCCTGAGGATTATATTTGCAACTTTAGGAATTTCTTATTCAAATACTATATTGGGAGTACAGGACACTAAAGATGCAAAATAAAATGATACTGTCAATACAGGAACTGGACAGTATATGATTACAGTCCATACAGGTCAAGCCCTTTGGGGAAAGAGGCAGAAACAGAATTGAGATGAATAGCAAGAGAAATGGTAACTAACTTTCTAGATCTGCTCTTCATAGGAATTCACTCCTCATGGTCAATGTTTCTCTGAGCTCTAGGCTAAGCTTAAAATGTGCTTTCACTCTCCTTGGGTGGGGTGCAGCTGAGTGGTCAGGGTCCCCCTCACCCAAAGATGGTGATGGTCCAACGGGAAAGGGAATGGTCCTAAGTAAAATTTTAACTAGAAAATGTTTGCCTTATGATCAGTCTATTTCCTTAAGAACCATTGTGTACGCTCCCAAATTGGGTCTAAAGGTGTGTGCAGAAATAGGTCCTTTATACCTCTTTCAAGAATATTTTTGTGATGAAAAAAAGACAAAAATAAAAAGGAGAATATTTATTATAATTGCAATTTCAGTATCAGGCGAGTGCCCTAGAATTTTCTAGATGATTAAATAATCTTACCTACTTCTGAAGGACATTCATGCGTTACCTGGAGATGTCTTCATTTTATACTTTGTCCCAGGCATGGTAAGGATTAGATGTTAGGAGACACAGGGGCTATTGAATTAGTCTGAAGGCAAGGTTAATCAGTTAATCAGGAAGACCAGAAAGTGACATATACAAGGGTAAATACAAGATCCTATTGCCTACTGTGTGTGCATGTAGTAGTTCGTGTGTATATATTATATAATATATTTTTTATTCTGTATATCATACATATGAAAATCAAAACAAGATATCAAAAGAAAAGTTTTCTGTTATGAAGCCATCTCTGATTGATATCCCTAGAGTATTCTGTTTTTGTTTTGCTAGTGCAAAACGATTGCTTCGACTGAAAGGAATATCAAAAAGATATGCTAGAATTTTGAGGGGTCAAAGGCCATGTTGTAGCTAACAGTTGTAGAAACAGTTCAAGAGATTGATTGAAGCCAAATGAAATACAACTTAAAATTGGACAAGGGAAAGAAGGGGCATAATTTGATCTGATTATGGGATAAACTGCTTGATATCATTTAAGAAAGACACTATTCAAAACTGTAGGAAAAGGTATAAAATACCTTACTTTCATATTGAGGAAAGTAGGCATGGCATTCCCACATGCAATCTGTTTCTTTGTTGATTAAGGCTGGAAGCTCTGCGGTGAAGTTACTTGAGCGGGAGGTGAATATCCTAAAGAGTGTCAAACACAAGCACATCATCCATCTGGAGCAAGTGTTTGAGACGCCTAAGGTAAAGTTCCACCAGGTGCTAGAGTTTGAAGGTTGTTATTATCACAAAATGAATATTGTTCCAATCCAAAGTGGCTCTCTGGGGCACAGTTGCTCATGTCCTTGGCAAAAGCCTGTCACCAGAGATTGATGAGAACATTCTCGAGGACTTTTATTATTGATTGTATAATTAGGTGTGCAATGATTAGATTGATGTCTTTAGTTACATATTGTGGGTAGCATGTTAGAAACCAATGCTTAAGATTAGAATAGCTTCATGCAAATCAAACAGTGAGCAGAGCTTCCTCCTAGATGGCATTCTTTTGTATGTGCTCTTAGTCTCTCTACTAGAGACCGTTTGATTGTTGTCAAGATATTGCAAGGTTAGTTTCATGATCAAATTGAAGAGGTTTACTTGGCATAGTGTAGAAAATACTTTTTTTTATTCTCTCCTTGGGAGGTGGTGACACACGCCTTTAATCCCAGCACTTGGGAGGCAGAAGCAGGTGGATCGCTGTGAGTTTGAGACCAATCTGGTCTACAAGAGCTAGTTCCAGGACAGCCTCCAAAGCCACAGAGAAATCCTGTCTCGAAAAACAAAAACAAACAAACAAACAAAAAATTCTCTCATACATTACAGCTGGAGTGCAGTTCCCCAATCCCTCCTCTCAGTTGCTCCATCCCTCTCTCCCAGATCCCTTCATCCTCTGTTTCCCTTCAGAAAAGAGCAGGCCTCCAGAGATGCCAACTGAACAGGGCATAACAAGTTCTTATCTTTGTCTTTTCCAGTGTGTTTTGTCTCCTTTCTTTCCTAGATATTATCAATCTCTAATCTTAACTGTAGGGTTTTGTTTTGTTTTTGTTGTTAACTTGGGCATCATTTGCACTTCCTGGAAGCAACACACTATGTGGCTAGGCATGTGAACAGGTAGTCTGTTTCTTTAAATCCTGATCCCACCACATGGCCAAGTTATTCAGCTTCTCTCTGTGTGAGTGTCTCACCTGTGAAGTGCTGACTCATCTGGTTGTTGAAGGATTAAAGATTAATGGGACTGTGGGTATAATGCATCAGTCTCATCAGATGTTAGCTATTGCTCTTCATTTTTTCTGCCAGACTCGGAAGTAGCTACTAATAGTCAATTTGGGTTATGCATTACACTTTATTAGCCAAAAGTGCTTGGCAATAGGGCTGAAGCTGTCCTGTTTCCTTTTTGGTGGTCCTGAAGGTCAGACCCCTGGCCTCGTGAATGTTAAGTGATGTCCTATTTCTACACTGAGCTATACCTTCGTTCTGAGTTGTGATTTCTTTTATCCCCAAATATTCTTTGAATAACTTTGTTCTTTATTATCAGTTTTTTAAAAAATTATGTATGCGTATGAATGTTTTGTCTGCATGTATGTCTGTTTTCCTTTTGCATGCCTTGTGCTCATGGAAGTCAGAAAAGGGCTATGGCTTGGACAGTTGGGAGCCACCAAACAGATGCTGGGAATTGAAGCTGGTCTTCTGCAATAGTAACAAGTGCTGTTAACCATAGAACCATCTTTCCAGCCTCTATCTTCAGGGTTAGACAGGTGGATTTCGATGAATCCTGATGAAGTTCTCTTCGTGTTTCTTGTGCTTGGGGTTCATAAAACCTCTTGGGTTTATGAGTTTGATTCTCATCTGATTTAGAAAATTTTTAGTAATTTTTCTGTTTCCCTTCTGTACTCTGGAGGACTTGGTACATAAACCAGATGACTTGATACTGCTTACAGTACACTGCTACTCTGCTCATTTTCCAGCATTTTCTGGGTAATTTGTATTTTACCATGACTTCAGATTCACTATTTTTTTTATAACAACTAATGTTTTATCATCTCACCCAGTGGAAATTTGATTTCCTTCATATTTTGATAGGAACTAAAGTCCTTTTCCTACTAATTGAGCTGTGTATATCATTGTTAGTTCAGTTTTGATGGGCCTTTCCTCCTTCATTCTGGGTTATATGTTCTTACTATGTATATCTGTTATTTATATATTTATTTCCATATTTTTGTCTTTTCATACAAGGTCTTACTATGTAGGATAGGTTAATCTATAAATTCTTACATAGCCAGGCTGGCCTGGCACGTGTGAACCTCCCTCCTCAGCATTTGAATGCTAGAATTTCAGGTGTGCACTACCAAGCCTGGCTGCCAGTTAACTTTAATTGGCTACCAGATATTGTAAAAATTGCCATTTTCAGTGCCAAATTTTTATATTCTTATAACTATTTTTGGGAGAGATGATATGGTCTCACTAGATAACCCTGAAATTAGTGAATCTTCTGTCCCAGCTTCCAGTGGCTAGGAAGACAGGCATGCACCACCACGTCTGACATAGTCATTTGCAGACAGTTCAGAGCCTTTAGGGCTTGATGTGTCCCTTGTGAGGGGCAACAGAGTGTCCTCTATAGGACTGGTTTTCACATTCTACTGAGGTGTGGCCTTTTTTTATCATTTTTTATTTTAATTTTAAATAGCTTGCTTTACATGTCAATCCCAGTTCCCTCTCCCTCCCCTCTTCCCGCACTCCCCTTCCCCCCCTCCCTCCCACCCTATTGCCAAATCCTTCCACATAGGGGATATCTAGAGTCTGTCATTTTACTCTTGGTAGGGTCAAGGCACTCCCCTAAGAGTCCAGGCTGAGAGAGCATCTCTCTTTGTGCTATAGGCACATGAAGACAGTTTGTATACCAGGGATAGACACTGATCCACAGCTCAGGGCCCCATAGGTTGCCCAGGCCTTCTCACTAACACTCACATTTGGGGGGTCCAGATCAGTCCCATGCTGGCCTCCCCACTGTCGGTCTGGGGTCCAAGAGCTCTCCCCTGTTCAGATCAGCTGTCTCTGCTGGTTTTGCCAGCCCATTCTTTGCCAATTTGCTCATCACTCCTCTCTCTCTGTCACTGGGTTCCTTGGGTTCAGTTCAGTGATTAGTTGTGTGTTTGCCTCTGCTTCCATCAGTCACAGGATGAAGGCTCCCGGATGGTTATAGACATCAAGTTCATTATCAGGAATGGGCATTCGAGGTGGTCCCTCCACTATTGCTTAGCTTGCCAATTGATGTTATACCTTTAGATCACTCGAGGTCACTCTGGTGCCTGATCTGTCTTCGATCCTATGATTCCCTCTTCCCCTATTCTACCCCCACCCCCTCAACTTCCTGTTCCCCCATGACCAACTCCCTTCCTCTTTACCCCCTCTATTCTTCCCAGGTCCCACTCCCCCCCACCCCTTGCCGTGTTCCCCATCCATTCAGAGGATCTTGTCTCCATCCTCTTCTCTTGGGTACTATGCATATATGCATATCTTTTAGGTTCTTTCCTGTTTCCCAGACTCTCTATCTGTGGAAGTGCAGACTGGCACTATCCTGATCCATATCTAAAATCCATATATGAGTGAGTACATACCATGTTTGTCTTTTTGCGACTGGGTTACCTCACTCAGGATGGTTTCTTCCAGTGCTATCCATTTCCCTGCGAATTTCAAGATTCCATTGTTTTTTTCTGCTGAGTAATACTCCATTGTGTAAATGTACCACATTTTCTCTATCCACTCTTCAGTTGAGGGGCATCTAGGTTGCTTCCAGGTTCTGGCTATTACAAACAATGCTGCTATGAACATAGTGGAGCAGATGCCCTTGTTGTATGAACCTGCCTCATTTGGATAAATGCCTAAGAGTGGAATTGCTGGGTCTAGTGGTAGATTAATTCCCATTTTCCTGAGGAATCTCCATACTGATTTCCAAAGAGGCTGTATGAGTCGGCATTCCCACCAGCAGTGGAGGAGTGTTCCTCTCTCTCCACATCCTCTCCAGCATAAATTGTCTTCGGTGTTTTTGATTCTAGCCATTCTGACAGGAGTGAGATGGTATCTCAGAGTTGTTTTGATTTGCATTTCCCTGATGGCTAAGGATGTTGAGCACTTTCTTAAGTGTCTCTTGGCCTTTTTAGCCTCCTCTACTGAGAATTCTCTATTTAGCTCTGTACCCCACCTTTCAAGTGGATCCTTTGGTGTTTTGGAGACTTGTTTCTTGAGTTCTTTGTAAATTTTGGAGATTAGCCCTCTGTCAGATGTAGGGTTAGTGAATATCTTTTCCCATTCTGTGGCCTGCCTTTTTGTCTTTTTGACTGTGTCCTTTGCCTTACAGAAGCTTTTTAGTTTCAGAAGGTCCCATTTGTTAATTGTCGATCTCAGTGCCTGTGCCACTGGTGTTATGTTTAGGAAGTGGTCTCCTGTACCAACTCGTTGAAGAGTATCTCCCACTTTCTCTTCTAAAAGTTTCAGTGTGGCTGGATGTATGTTGAGATCTTTGATCCATTTGGACTTAAGTTTTGTACAAGGCGATAAACATGGATCTATCTGCAGTCTTCTGCATACCAGTACCCAGTTATGCCAGCACCATTTGTTGAAGATGCTTTCTTTTTTCCACTGTACAGTTTTAGCTTCTTTGTCAAAAATCAGGTGTTCATAGGTGTGTGGGTTAAAATTAGGGCTTTCGATTCGGTTCCATTGGTCTACCTACCTATTTTTGAGCCAATACCAAGCTGTTTTCAGGACTATAGCTCTATAATAGAGCTTGAAGTCAGGTATGGTGATGCCTCCTGAAGTTCCTTTATTGTATAGGGATGTTTCGGCTATCCTGGGCCATTTGTTTTTCCATATAAAGTTGATTAATGTTCTTTCCAGGTCCTTGAAGAATTGTGATGGAATTTTGATAGGGATTGCATTGAATCTATAGACTGCTTTTGGCAAGATTGCCATTTTTATTATGTTGATCCTACCAATCCAAGAGCATGGGAGATCTTTCCATTTTCTGGTATCTTCTTTGATTTCTTTCTTCAAAGACACAAAGTTCTTGATATACAGGTCTTTCACTTCCTTGGTTAACATTATCCCCAGATATTTGATGCTGTTTTTGGCTATTGTAAAAGGTGATGTTTCTCTGATTTCTTTCTCAGTCACTTCATCATCTGTATATAATAGGGCCACTGATTTTT